CCCCAACTGAGGAGCTGCATTTTTCTACTTCATGATTTAGTTATTTTGAATTCAGTACATTACATGGTGGGGCAAAAGTAGGTTTACAGTTGTTCCTATTGAAAATAACACAATATTTAATAAATAATAATATAAGATAAACCGTTTCGAGTACTCACAACTGCAAACCTACTTTTGCCTCACCCTGTATATAACCACCATGTAGAAACAGGATGCTAGCTAATTTCTAACTGTAGATTTTAAAAAACAGATTTTTGGAGGGTACATAAAATAAAATGCCAGGTCAAAGCAATGCCATAGCTATTTTCCTCATTGGATAATATATATAAAAAACACTATAATGAAAGGCATCCAGAGAAGAAGCGTGAACTGGTCAAGTGCCCAGAACTTTTAACACATTAAAAAAAAAAACCCGAAGAAACCACAGTTAGAAAAGAATGCTTCTGGGATTAGAGCTGTATCCACAAATTTGAAGGGAAGTAAATTTCTCGGTAATAAAGGAACACATACTTTCTGGTCATTAGAACTTTCCTTAAATAGAATGAACTGCCTTATAATGTGGAAAGCTCCCAGTCAAGGGAGAGGTCAAAGCTGAGGTCGAAAGATAATCTCTTAAGAATATAGTAGAGGTGAGGCATGACAATTTACCTGCATGGCTTCACAGTCTGCTCCGCTCACATCTCTCATAATTCTCTTCTGTAATTGGAAACTCACTACTTTCGGGTAATTTCCTCAAGATGAGTCACAACATAGCATATAAGTAAATGCATTAACCATTGGTTGTCTTTTTCCCTCTGAAATTTCCAGGTGTTAGTACTGGTGAATTGGATGTATTTCTGTAAGATTAACTAAACTTTCTTAAAATTTCTAGGTGTCAAAAAATCAATTTCAGATTCTAGTTTTGTCACTTATCTATATAACCTTGGATCAGTCACAATTTCCCTAGAATTTAGAGGAGCTCAGATTTGGGGCATTATTCCCTACTTCTCCCAGTATTTAAAAACAAACAAACATTATGTTGTTGGTTTGGGGAGTCACAATGACAGGCTGGCACTATAGCATTTAGCGGGCAAGAGCCGGGGATGCTGACTGACCTGCAGTGCCCAGAATACACTCCTTCTCTTCTGAGAAATGTTGATTAGAGGAATTACAAATTCCTCTTCAGGACCAAATTTTGTGAGGTTTTTCTGCTAAAAATGTTTAGTTAGCAACAGCTCTTCTTACCTAAATCACAGTTAAACATTTCCCTCTCCCCCTTTGTAAGTAGTAAATACTGACAATTTACGATAAGTAGAAAAGATTATAAGAGGGTAAGAAAAAAAAAACAGACAACAACCTTGTTTTTAATGCATGGATATTAAGAACCTTACTTTAATAAAATTCAATGATTAGATGTTGAGATTCTATCTACCCAAGACTCCACTAAGAGAGTTCTAAGTTTAATTCCTACAGCCTTTAGTGTCTGTCTTTTTTCCATTACTAACAGAACAGACTTAGGTATTTAATTGGTCATTAGATGCACTTTCATCAAAAGTAAAATATTACTCATAACAGCTATCAGAAGTATTTGGTCTTGAAGGGAAATGTTAATGAATATCTAAACAGCTAAAAATTTTAATAAAACTCTAATTATTGATGCAAAATATTTAACTTTGATAAGATATGCTGAACCACTTTTGGCTTTAGGACTTAAATTATATAGAGATATATATTTACTTATTTTTTAAATTTCATTTCTTAGTATTTTAGGAAATTGTATCTCACGCACACACACACACACCCCATATAGTAAGTTTTGGGAAACTGAAACAAAGGACCAAAATCAACATCTGGATTTTAATCACCTTTGACGTTTCCATGAACAGAATTTCTAGGCACAGAATTGTTATTAGGAATTAAAGGATATTTTGTTTTTGCCATACTAGATTGCTCAATACTTCCTTTAAAATGCAAATACTTTAGCCTAAATCTCTGGTTCCAACGTTTTATGTACACCAAAAATGTCTTTATCCCAGTGGTGTCATCAGCACTTGTTTCCAGAAACACAGATTGCTAACACCATTTAATGTCCTTTAATATAAACAACAGGAACGATAACATTAAAGACCAGTTCACTAACCATTAGTGTTTTGAAGGAGATCTTTCATTCTGAAGAACAAGAATTATAATATCTTTGAGTTTTCATTAGGGCTTTACTAGAAAATACTCGCATGACTGCATCGTCTAAAACAGTAATTCTACAATGTACTAGGAAATGTTTATACCTGAGACTCCATGTTTACAAGTATAAAATCTTCAGGACAAAAGAATGTTTATATGAAATAATGTAATGGCCTGTATAATACTCAGGCATGAATTTTCTTCAATACAAGTTTAAAAACATTCCTAATATGATTTCTTAAAAACAAGCAAATAAAAGCCCTCCTTTTTTCAAAGCCAATAAATATCAGTGAGTCTTTATTGCCATTGGATTTTACTTCATGATTTGTTAAAATTACTAATAAATTCTCTAAAATGATATAGATGTCAAAAATAATATTGTTTTTAAATGTTAAATAACAAGAAAATCAGATAAAAAAGAACCATTCCACAACAAGTTACTATTTAATTTCCTGAAATTATATGGATAATTTATTAACTTCATGTGAGATGTGAAGAACTGATCAACTGTTCCAGATATAATCTAAAGCATCTGATAAAGAACAGAAATATAAAAGAGACCAGTGTTTAAAGGGGCTAAGTGATAAAAGTTATTAAGCTTATACAGAGGTGTCTCTTCCATTCTAAAATGTCAAAACACATAGGTAAATTTGATTTGAGCTACAAATTGGTAAATATTTTAATAGATTTGGGGTATATAGGATAGCAAACTCCAAAACCATAAAAGAAATAAACTGCCATTTATTTGTGTCTGCATGGCTCAAAAGGTCAGAAAGGGGATAGTTTATATTTTTTTGGCAGAGATAAAACACAATCCACTATCGAACCTCAGATTTCAAGGAAAACTCCTTCAAATTCAGCAGCTAACAGCTTGTCTCTATTCGCTGTCACTCTAGATCAGAGAAACCCACACTTTTTTTTCTCTCCTGCCCCCCTTCAGTTATACTTGAGCTCTCTGACTGAAAAGGTCTGGAACAGATTAAAAGTCGGGCTACAAAATAAAAAGCTTTTGGCATGTTGTCAAGCCTGTCTGGAATACACATACACTGTGGGCCCAAAAAGGGAAACTAAAGGCAGTAAGAGAATTTTATGAAACTTTTTTTGGCACATCTAATTGTGTGCTTGTGTGTACGTATGTGTTGGAGGTAGGGAGGAATAATTTTTTTTTTTGGTACTTTCTCTGATTTAAAACAAAAGGCCAAGCTGTGTGTGTAATTAATGGATCTACTTAAGCTCAAAGCCAAGTTGTTTTATTTCACTGTTTTAACTGAAAATACTTTTTAAAAAAATCAGCTTTGTTCCAACTCCTGATTCTGTGGTGAGCTAAGAGTTAATCATCATCTTTCATAACCTTATGTTGGGGGGTAAAAAAACCCACAGTACCATTTAAAAAAAGTTTCCAAAACGTGGACAAGTTGAATTCATTAAAGATGATTTAAGGAAACATGGCTGTTATCGTTCCAGTCCATACAAATGGCAACATTAAATTCTCTACCTTACTCAGTTTCCTGTTTCAACCACAAGGGCTTATTCAAGTATTAAATAGAGTCTGAAGGTGCAAGTTATTAACATGCCACCTAACTTTTTTAACACCCAAATAGGTCTTGAAGCTCAAAAGAGTAGCATTTGAGCCAAGCAGGGTATCTGTCAAAATGACGGTCCCTGCCCTGATCACACCTTTGAATTTACTTGAATACGGGGTGCGAATCACAAACCTGACCAGTTTAGGGCAAACCCCAATGTTGGGGTTACTAAAAGGTGCACATAAAGACATAGGAGAACTGTGGTAATGTTCCTGACAGGGAAGTTATTTTACCCAACCTGCTCCGGGCTGTTTTTTCTCTCCCCTACCCCCAGGATTGTGTTTTGATGGCATTCACAGAGTTAATTCCTCTTTCCCGTAAGGGCCCCACAGTTGTTGTTAGGTCAACCCCTGTAAAGCTTCAAAGGTTCTGTGTCCCCTCAGTCTGACCTACTCAGTGATCTGCACATTGTTTTCATTTAGCTGCATTCAGTCCAAGACGAAAACTTCGAAACCACAATGATCTGCTGCTTTTTAGAGTCATTTTTCCATGGCTTTGGAAAAATATCTCAGAAACCTAAGTGAAAACAGTGAAAAAAAAACACAACTGGATAAAAAGGCATTAAAGAGCTTGTACTATTATCAAAATGTGCACACTTGGGAGAGGAGTATTCCTTTGTGCAAATCAGTGATTTAGTCATGTGATTTGGAGAGCAACATGGCTTTGCTTTTTGTTTCCTAAATGTAAAACAAAGAAAAGGACCTTTATGTGTAAAAAAACAAAAAACAAACAAAAAAGCCACAAGAAAAAAAAAATGCTGTCATTGATCTTATTTCCAGGGTGACAGGGTCCCCGCCTCCCCCCAACCATTTAGGATAGAAAACACTACAACGCCCAGGCCACAAAATGGTCCTTATTGCTCTCTGAAATTAAGCATAAGCAGATACCAGGTCACTGACAAAAGCTGGGATCCCAGGTTTTATATGCAGCAAGACAGCCTGATTATTACTGTGGCTACAAAGGCCATTTTAAACAAATCACGGTGTCTCCCAAAAATGTGAAAGGAACAGTGATTCTGGTTAGTCAGCCACCACAACATTCCCTCAATCCCATCCCAAAGAGCCTAAGCTAAAAAGCTGACTTAGACCCGAATTTCTCAAGTTTACAGTGAAAGGTATAAAAATAGTACTAGAAAAGTTGGGTGAGCAGTCATTTTTTAATACTATAAAGTAATGCAATTTTATTTAAATGTACCTTCCCAAATTCACATACAAAAAAATGGTTATCAAAAATATCTAGAAAGGTTTTGAGATGAACCTTTACCAAAACGAGGGTCAAGCCTTGGGTCTAGCCAAGAGGTGGTCTTGTTCTTATGGTTTATATAGTAAATTTCTCCATCCTGAGTCATGGCTTGTTCCCATCCATCAGGAAGAGTACCTATAAATACAGAAAAAAAATCACGGTTGGTGTTTATTTGGTGCACCTAAAAAAAGTGGGAGGGGTACTAATTTAAAAATAAAACACATCTTGACATAAACAATTCATTAAAACAAAATTAAACATGTATTCAGAGAAGAAAGGTAAACCCATATACCAGGTTCTTCTCCACTAAAAAGAAACTACCAAATAATAAAATCTACATCCCCAAAGATACAGACCAAAAAAAAAGTCAGAATTTCAAAAAATCCCCTTGGAAATCACGAGTCAAACAGTTATTATTACTGTTAATACAAGGCACAAAGCGTTACACCTCAGGGAATACCTCCCAATCCAGTTTTGTGACTACCTTCCTAGGGACTCCAAGGTTCTTTAAGAAGGAATACATATGAGTGTCTTCAGAATATCTAAAGTATCATAAACATTCTGTTTAATATAAAGCACACTTTAACTAGCCTGCCAAGCTCCATTTATTTTCATTATTTATGTGACGAGCTCACACCAAGAAAACGGTAACAGAGAAAACTAGAGTTCAAAAACAGCTTTTAAGCAGCCCAAAAGTTGCTAGGAGGTGGGGGTTGTGGCTGGGAGTTTAGGCTTGTCCGAGTTTTGAAATGGGGCAGGTAAGTGCTAAAACTGTCGGAAGGCAAATTTCCCAGGAAGAAGCTGTGGCGTGAGGAAACAACATCTGGGAGATAGGACTACAGAACATAGCAAGTCTAAGGTTATTCTATCTTTACGAGGGTATGGAAGCTAGAAAACTGCTTTTGGTGTGTAATAGCCATAAAAAAAAAAAAGCTATGAAATTACTAAATTCAAGCACATTCATTTCCTCGTTAATTCCTTTTCTCCCCTTTTCCATTTCCCATCCCCACCAGGAGTCAGGAGAGGTGAGTGTGAATTGGAAATAGAGTCTGAGTAAATGCTTAAAATGATCTATCTGTGGACCAACATGAACTGAGTGCTTACTATGTGCCAGTCACTGTTCTAAGTATACTAAATACAGTAACTCATTTAGTCCTTACAGTAACCAACAACACACGCAGCAGCATGATCTCCATTTTAATGAGGAAACAGGCAGAGTGGTTGAGTCTGGCACAGCCTCACTAAGCTAGTTAGTATCAAAGTGATACTCAAATCCAGCAGCCTAATTCCTGAGCTATTGTTCCTGAAAACTACATTTTTTTTTAATTTATGCCCCACATGCAAGACCAGAGACTGAGCATGCTTCTTGTGCAGAAACTCGACAGGTTTCTTCTTTCTATACTGGCCGCCCAGACGGCCTTCTGAGTGACGCTGGGTAAGTAACTCCGGTTAAACAGACCATTCCCATAAGCCCACGGGACCCGAAGCGCTAATTCTAGGCCAGCTTCATTTGTACCAGGAACAGACCCATTTGCTACTAGACTGTTAGCAAAGATCTGTTTTGACAG